TCTCCATTGATAAGAATGATGTTTATTGGTCCAGTGGTGAGGATTTTTGTTTTCTTTACATTGAGATGCAATCCATACTAAAGGCTGTGCTCTTTGATCTTCATCAGTAAATGTTTTAAGTCCTCTTCACTTTCAGCAAGCAAGTATTCTGGTTATATTTCCTCTAAGACTGATATGCTCATTCTCTGGCAATCTGCAATGTAGTCAGTATTTTTTGCCAACACCATAGTTTGAACACATCAGTTCTTCTGTCTGTCTTTCTTTTTTTTATTATCCAACTTACATATGCATATGAGGTGATTAGAAAGATCATGGTTTGGGTTAGGTACATCATTGTCATCAAAGTGACATATTTGATTTTTAAAACTTTAAAGAGGGTTTTTAAGCAGATTTTCTCAATACACTATACGTCTTAATTTCTTGACTGTTGTTTCCATAGTCATTGATTGTTAGTTTAATAGATGAAATCTTTGATGAATTCAATTTCTTCTCTATTTATCATGAGGTTGTTTATCAGTCCAGTTGTGAGGATTTTTGTGTTTTTTATAGTCAAGTATAATCCATTCTGAAGACTGTAGTCTTTGACTACATGTTGAATTGATTTCAATATAACTCATTTATTAAAAATCCACTACATGGAAAGCATTACATTGCATTATATAAGGGAAAGTCAAGTAAGGAGCTCTGGTAGTGTTGTGGTTACGAATCAGGCTGCAAACCACAAGGTCAGCAGTTTGAAACTACTAGCTGTTCCGCAGGAGAAAGATGAGGCTTTCTGCTCCTGTAAAGATTTATAGCCTCGGAAACCCTGTACAGGGTCGCTATGAGTAGGAACCGACTCTATGGCACACAACAACAACAACTAGCAAGTAGGGTCTATCTGGGTCAGAACTGACTTGATGGTACTTAACAACAACTAGCAATGCTCTGCATCTGTGCTCAAGCATGAAAACCCAGTATTTGAGATTGGGGACACCGAATTGCCTGTAGTAGTCCTAATAGAACTCAAAGTAATGCTTAACTATAGTAGATTCTTAGTAAATCTTTAAATTGAATTGAATTGAAATCAATTCAACATGTCTTTTAAGCTGTAAAAACTATACTAATCTTGTTGTAGTCACACTTGACCCTTTGCAAGCAACACTGTTAAGCTGGTGATGCTTGTCTTTGATTCCCAGATACCTTTCAGAATCCTTTTTACCCTACTGTACCAGCATTGTTACTTTTTCATATCTTTTCACTACAGGATAAATAAAAGCATACTAAAAAATTATTGTCTTAATATTCTGCCTATTGCATGTGGAATCTTTATAGTTTTTTAATTTTTCAAGAAAGAGGAGTTAGGGGAGGTTTGTAGTGGGCAGGCTAATTTCCCCCAGTGTTCAAATCCTATGTTATGCCTGTATTGTGCCTTCCCTTTTGCTCAGCCATACATCTGCTTTTCAATAATAATGACTCAGTAAACTTTTATTGAGAGTTTGCTCTGTTTCTGATGCTGTCACAAGGGAAGAAGCCTGGCCTGGCCTGTTAACAGGATCCCAGCTATGTCTTGCTTTTTGGTGCAAGCACAAGAAGTGGTGGGCATGCAGAAGTGAAGAAATCCATGGAAAGGATTTAGAACAGGTGTTTGGTTTGTAGAAGAGACTTTACATTTTATGTTTCTGCTCCCCAGTATTTTTCACAGTTAATAATGGTTCATATTGACTGATATTTACTAACTACCTGATTTTGAGCAAATTGCTGAACTGCTTTATTCCTCAAATTCCTCATCAGTTTAAAGGGATTGGAGTCCTTTTTGTAGTGCTATAGGATAAGCTGTGGACCACAGGTTGATCTGAACCACAACAAACCTAGACAAGGTTGCTATGAGTCAGAACTCGACAGCACTTAACAACAACATTAATGGGATTAATCTAAATTGGAGATAATAAAAGTGCCCAACTCATGGGTTGTTGTGAATCTCAAATTAGATACTACAAATAAGTTACTTTATGTAGTGTACTTAGCACAGTAAAATTATCAATAAAGGTTAGCTATCCTAATCATCATTGTGCCATTCTGAGTATTTTCCTTTAACTTTTCTTGTTTCCTTAATCTTTCTTCTCACTGTTTCCTATTAATAAAACATTACAACTGTTTCAATATTTGTAAAGTATTGTTATGAGATTCTAAGATGTAGAAAACCAAAAGGTTTTATTATGAAGACTGTACCTGTTTTGACTTCACTTTTCATCTCTGATGCATTTCTTCATTTCTCTCTTCCCCTAGAAAGGTGACCGAGTGTTCACTACCAGCACAATCTCTGGCGGCTACGCCGAGTATGCTGTTGCAGCAGATCACATGGTTTACTCCCTGCCAGAAAAACTGGACTTTAAGCAAGGAGCAGCCATTGGCGTCCCTTACTTTACTGCTTGTCGAGCTCTGCTCCACAGGTAATAACACACTGTCAACTATAGCTAACACCAAAGAAGGGCAATAGTAACTACCTTCCATCCTGCCATCTGTCCACCCACCTGTCTGTCATTTTTGATTTTCATTTAGTTACCATTAAGCATTTATGGAGTGAAAAAATGCTAATTTGGGGGACTAATCATGGGAGATACAGTCAAGAGCAAAACACTGTTTTATCTTCAAGATGTTCACAGTCTGGTAAAGGAGATGGATGTAAGAGTCAGACTCATTATATATGCTATGGAAAGTGCAATGGCAGAGACGTGATTTATGGGATAACAAGGGAAGTGCTTATGGTGACTAGATAAGGCTTCTTAGGGGGGCTGTGAGACTTGGATTGTTTTAAAGCCATGGTTCCAAAATCTTGTTATACATCAGAATCATATGAACAGCAATTTAAAAGTATGGGCCAGGACCCCACTCCAGGCCTGTTAATCAGTTTCCAGGGTGGGGGCCTGAGAATTTACATTTTAATTAAATTCTACAGCTGTTTGAAAAAGATTAGACTGAGTTAGCCTAAGGAAGGGTAGTTGGAGGTAGAGAGATTGTGTATTAGATGATGGGAACAAGGTGGTATATGGTTTCCAAGTAGAGGCTGGTGAGCTTGAACTGCCAAACTTGCATGCAGTACAAACCGACTTTGCAGTCCAGCCCCTTAACCCACAGCACCACACCAGGACTCCATATAGTGCATTGTTGTTGTTAAGTGCCGTCGAGTCGGTTCCGACCCATAGCGACCCTGTACAGGGTTTCCGAGGCTGTAAATCTTTACGGGAGCAGATAGCCTCATCTTTCTCCTGCGGAGCAGCTGGTAGTTTCGAACTGCTGACCTTGCAGTTCGCAGCCTGATTCGTAACCACTACGCTACCAGAGCTCCTTATATAGTGCATGGTGAGGGCTAAAATAATTTGGCTTTGTTGAATGGGAGATTTCAAGTCAGAGTGGCAAGGAGTTGGCTGGAACATGGTAATCTCCGTGAGTGTTAGTTATTATCATCAGCCACTACTTGTCTGGAGTCCTGGTGTAGTGCTATAGGAAATGCAGTAGACTGCAAACTGAAAGGTCAGCAGTTCAAACCAGCCACTCCTTGGTAACCACATACAGTGTCTCTATGAGTCAGATTGAGTTGATGTCACTTAACAACCACTCGTCTATCAGTTTGTTGTACTGTGGTGACTTGTGTGTTGCTGTGATGCGGGCAGATATGCTACCAGTATTTTATATACCAAAAGGGTCTCCCATGGTAGACAGGTTTTTAGCTAACTTTCTTTTATAGTACTTAGGCATTTGGATAAGCGATTAAAGAGAGGAAATTTGAGAATTAATGTAGGCCTGGAGTATTGGTGACAAAATGGAATAGCTCAAAGGAAATGAGATTCTTCTGGTCTTAGGGTCATGGAGACTGAGTGGCCCATTAGTCCACTGGGCTAAATGTTTCCATGTGTCTTGGATTTTTTATAACTCTGCACTGGGAGAGACCAGTAGTTACCCCTTAGATAACTGTTGACAGGCTTTTAAGACCCCAGCCAGTACTCACCAAAATAGGATGTAGAACACTGTCTTTGTGGAGTAAGTTATGCCAATTAACTGTAGTGACCCCTGAAACTATGGTCCTGAGCCCCAAGGCCCAGTGACTCATTCCTTTATAGCTAAGAAGTTTTGTTGTAGCTAAGAGATTTTCATAACTTTGCTCCCTGTATGCTCCACCACATTCTTCAATATTTTCAGAAAAGGTAACTACCCACGTACATATGTTGTTGTTGTTTTTAAGTGTTGTCAAGTTGGTTCCAACCCATAGTGACCCTATATAGGGTTTCTGAGGAGTGGCTGGTGAGCTTGAACTGCCGACCTTGCTGTTCAAACCACCTTTGCAAACTAGTGCATTAACCCACAGCACCACACCAGGACTCCCTGTATATAAATATAGATAGATAGATAGATAGATAGATAGATAGATAGATAGATAGATAGATAGAGATATAGAGATTGGTATATATATAGATAGATAGATAGATAGATAGATAGATAGATAGATAGATAGAGATATAGAGATTGGTATATTCCCGTTCGCCCTCCCATACTCATTCAGTTTGCATGTGTATATATATATATATATATATATATATATATATAGAGAGAGAGAGAGAGAGAGAGAGAGAGAGAGAGAGAGAGAGAGAGAGAGAGAGAGAGATCATCATTACTGTAGGATTGTGTATCTAACAGTATTTGTTTCTGTTACCTTTAATTCTTGCTCTCCTCCTAGTGTCTTCCTCTGCTTCCATCATTTTTTACCAAACTCTTATTGTATATTGTCTTCTCCTTCATTCAAGTAAAATGTGTGTTAATTTCTTCCCAAGTTTCAAACACTCTGTTCTACCAACTGCTCTGAAAGGGATAATGTTAGAAAGTCCTGGATAAAGTGAGACAAAATGTGGAACAAAACTTAAAATCATAACAAAGGCATGACTTACTAGTTGGACAGAGACTGATGGAATCACTGAAACCATAGCCCTCAGTCACTCTTCAAGTCCAGAACTAAACTTACTCCCACAGCTCGGTTTTTCAGGTGTACAAGAGGAATAATAACACTAGTGAGGTACACACACCTTCGAATAATCAACCATTTGATATGGAAAAGACAGCATTTACTTAAGGACAAAGTTCAGAATGGTTAGAAAAGAAGGAGGAATGGAAATAGGAAACAGGAAGGATGTGGGATTGATGTTACATTGAGAGGATTATAATGAATGGGATAAAGCAAAATGTGTATGAATTGTTAAATATATGAAGGTGAGGCAAAAGTTATCTGCACTCTGGCTGTAGAATTTATTTTAATCAGCTTTTAGAAAAGACAAATACATCATTTTCTGACATAATCTCCCTGCTTTTTAATACACTTTGTCCATCTGTCAACAAGCTTTCATATTCCCTTATTAAAAAACTGTTTTAGGCTGAGCTGTGAGCCACAAATACACCAGTCTTCACTTTTTCATCAAAGGTAAATCTTTGTCCTTAAAGGGCTGCTTTCAGGGGACCAAACAGGTGAAAGATCTTTGGAGCAAGATCAGGACTGTACAGAGGATGCTTTAACACCTCAAAACAAAGTTTTTGCAGTGTCAACAGTGTGGGCAGAGGTGAGCAGGGGTGCATTGTCACACACACCCTTAGATAGCAATCCTCGGCATTTAATCCAAAGTTTAGGCTTCAACTCTTCAGTGAGAATTTTACTGTAACGAGAACTGTTGATAGTTAACCTTTTTCCTGATACTGGCCCTTGAGAATCCCAGAAAACTGTAAGCATCCATTTTCTAGCTGGCGGTTAACTTTTCAGCTTTTTCTTGGTCGGTGATTGAGGATGTTCCCATTCCATACTGTGCCCTTTATTCTCTGTTTCCTAGTGATGAATCCATGTCTCATCACCAGTAACAATTTTTTTTTTTTCAAGATATTTTTACCTTCCTTTGAGTATTGGTCCAAATTTTGTTTGCAGATGTCCAAATGCTTCTGTTTATACCCTTCCATGAGTTGTTTCAGTACCCATCTTGCACAAACTTTTAGAATTCCAAGTCTGTGGTAGATTATGTCATAGGCAGAGCCATGGCTAGTTTGCAAATGATTTGACACATAATCCACCATCACTCATCTGTTCAACAGAATCAATGTTGTCATCAGCAGTGGATGTGCACCGGAGTGCAGATAGTTTTTGACTCACCCTTGCAAAATTGTTGATATGTAACCTTCTGTAAACCTCCATACCCATTCACAATTAAAAAGAAAAAAAAAGGAAACAAGAGCACTAGAGAGAGAGTGAAATGGGGAATCTACCCTAGCCAAATATGGAAGGAAGTAATGCCAGAAGCATTAACTGGGTGGTTTCTGTGAGCTGAAGAAGAGGTTTGGAAAGACTGTGGGCTTATAGAATTAGGATGAAGATCGCTGATATAATTGCTCCTCAGTGTCTGATGTTTCTCAATAGAATGGTTGTGGTTGCTTACCAGATTGAGCCTTGGAGACAGTGGCTAATGTGAGAAGAATTCCGGAATGGGATATTACATTTTCTTTGAGTAGATACTGAAATCTCCTAGATTGGGCAGGGTTTGGGGTAAAAACAAAGCCTATGGGGCAATTACTAGAGTCTTGGGTGATCAAGAGACCAGGAGAGGATGGTGGTGTGGAAGGGTCTGTGTTAGAGTCTCTGTCCTGAGCATCAGAGGAAGATGATAGTAGCATTGTAGCAGTGAGGAGCCAGAAGGGTAACCTGCTTTCTCCCCACACATCCCTGGGGCTTCAGAGACTGTGTTATTGTTTTTGTTGCTGGTGGGTTTGAACTGCTGACCTTGTATTTAGCAGTCCAGTACTGATCCTACAGCACCATACCAGAGCTCTTTATAAGATATATACATTTTTAATTAATTGGAAAGTACTGCTTGTCCCATTGTATTACATCACTGATCTGACATTTGGGTTTTACTTTTTAAAAATCAAAATGTTTTGTGAATGGTTATCTTGCTTTATCATTTTGAACCCTTAGTTTAATTCATGGCCCTGAGAAAGTGCCATTTATTGTTCATTATTGCCATTTGTGAGTTGGCACAGAGCCTTGAGCAGGACTCCAGGTTACTGTATTGTCACTTGTAGATTGGACATAATATCTCTCCAGTGTGCCCACCTCCTATTGTTCTGAGGAGTGAGAGAGGCTCCCTAAGAGGCTGATCTGCATTACACAGCAGCTGCTGACATGTGACATTAGCATTCATCCATCTGGAATAGTAAAGCACCCCCAAGCTCCCTTGCTGCATGTTCCTTGTTTTCAGAACACAATAGAAAAGTAGTAGTATGAACCAGAAGTAAAAATAATGAAATGTCTTTTCACCAGAGAACCTGGGAACTGTAGAGGATGACATGGGAACCTAGTGACAGAATTTATGGTATTTATTACTCTTATACCATTGCTTTCTAGAAAAAGGGCATCGAAGCTGGTTCAACCTGATGTTCAGAGGATTGGAGAAATAAAAATATCATATCCTGGTGAAAAGAAATTTAGTCACTGTGTTTACCTCAGTGTTAATCTGTAGTTAAGGGATGAACTACAATAAACCTGCTTTGATACTTTCTGTGGAAACATATGAGAATGAGACTCCAGCCCCTTTTGTTGTTGTTGTTGTTGTTAGGTGCCATCAAGTTGGTGCCGATTCATACCGACCTTATGCACAGCAGACCAAAACACTGCCCAATCCTGGACCAACCTCACAATTGTTGCCACATTTGAGCCCATTGATGATACCACTTTGCCAATCCATCCCGTTGGGGGTCTTCCTCTTTTTCTCTGACCCTCCACCCTACCAAACATGATATCCTTCTCCAGCGACTGGTCCCTTCTGACAATATGTCCCAAGTATGAGAGATGACATTTGGCCATCCTGGCCTCCAAGGAGCACTCTGGCTACACTTCTTCCAGAATGGATGTATTGGTTCTTTTCACAGCCCATGGCACTTTCCATATTCTCCTCCAACACCATAACTCAAATGAATCAATTCTTCTACGGTCTTCCTTATTCACTGTCCAACTTTCACATGCATTTGAGGTTATTGAAAATACCATAGCTTGGGCCAGGTGCACCTTAGTTTTCAAGCTGACACCGTTGCTCCTCAACACTTTCAAAAGGTCTTGTGCAGCAGATTTGCGTAATGCAATACGTGGTTTGATTTCTTGACTGCTGCTTCCGTGAGTGTTTAGGCCATAACCTTCAGGGACTGTAGTCTTTCAGAAGGTAGCACCATGGAGGGGACACCGATGTTATATGCACAGGGCCTGGCACATAATGAAATCAAAAAACTAGTTGCTATGGAGTCTACTGTGACTCACGGCAACTCCATGTGGTGCCAAGTAGAACTGCAATCTATGGGGTTTTCATGACTGTCACATTTTGGAAGCAGATAGCCAAATGTTTCTTCCAAGGTGCCTCTGGGTGTATACCAACTGCCATGTTTTTTATTAGGATCCAAGCACAGACCATTATTGCCACCCAAGGATTCCTTGGCACACAGTAGAATCTTAGTATACAGTTGTTGAATTAATTATTGAATAAAAGGTAGGAAAGAAAGAAAGAAGGAAGAGAGAGTAAAAGGAAGGGAAGTAGGAAAGAAAGAAAGAAAAGTTTTCTTTTATCTGTGGCCCTGAAGGACCATTGTTTGATCCTGTGGAACTTGGAAAAGAAGTCTGGGCTGTTTGTCAGGACGTGTTTTCTCTGTGGGTGTTAGCTGGTCTGAGGGTTGAATGGCATTAAGAATAATGAAAAGCATCTGAGCTTAATTAACTTAAAAAAATGAAGTGATGAAATCTATGCTTTTTCCGCCATCCCCAGTGCTCATGTGAAAGCTGGAGAAACTGTTCTGGTTCATGGAGCTAGCGGAGGAGTAAGTATTGTCCTTTTTTTTTCCTTTTAAGTTTATTTTTAAAAAAGAGTGTTGTGGGTTTCATGTTATATTTCGGTTAGTCCTTTTTTAAAGTCACATTTATAATTACATTCAGGGGTACCATTTTCCTTTATATAGTAAAGCTTCTGAATATGATTCTTTTGTCATTAGTTTGGCATTTCTTGATCAATAAAATCAACCAATGTTGCAAATATTACAAACGTCATATCAGATTTTCTGCCTGTATTGGATATGGACCAAGATAATATATATTTGCCTTCAAGTAGCATATATTATAAGAATGTTTATTTAGAATTTTAAGCAGTTCTTTTAAGGTTCGTATTAATTCCATATTCCCTTAGATAAGGAAACGAAGGCTCATTAAAGCGTTACCTACTATGTTGCCCCAGACAGAACCGCAAAGCCACACTGTGAATTCTCAGTCCTTTCTATCTCCCTTCCACTGCTTGCCTGCTGCGCTTTGATGACATTCATGGAGTGCACAGTATACAGCTGTGTCCTTAACACCACAACCTATGGCTTTAAATGCTAATGTTGCATGGGAGGGTAGGGAGAGGAGATTCAGAACTTATAAAATAAGCCCTCAGTGAAATCACCAACACAGGGCTGTCAGAAACCTCTTCAAGAAATGGGCTGTCAATCTGCCTCTGAGGAGCTTAGGGGAAAAGTTAAAGCTCTGAGGTTGGAATTTAACAAGATATCCACATGACCTCTATCTTGCATGTGGTGGCTTTAGAAATTTTGGAGACAAGATTTCACATTTTTGAAGTAAAGGGCCTGGGGGTAGATGGTTCACTTTGAGGAAGCTGGTTAACCCTTTCAGAGCACTGCATATTTCAGGAGGGATTGGCTGAAAGAAGTATTTTGTGAAAATGGTTTGTTGCTCTCTGAATAATAGGTGGAATTCTGAAAGGGTAAAAGATGGGCACATAATAGATACAATTCAGTCCATTGTATTCCTCTGTTAGTTTAGATAAAATGAATCACAAGGTTTCCTACCCAGTTCCTTATGTACCTCAATTTTGGAAGAACTTAATAGATCAGACTATTACTAAAAACCACCAAGATTGTCTTTATTGTTGTTGTTAGGTACCACTGAGTTAGTTCCTTGTGTACAACAGAAGGAAGTAGTGTCTAGTCCGGAGCCATCTTCACTGTAGCTGCTATGTTTGTGCTGCCACTGTGCCATACATCTTGTTGAGGGTCTTCCTCTTTTTCACTGACTCTTCCAAGCATGATTGTATCTATGAGGCTTGAAAAAAGCTGACCTATACATCTTATCAAAACCCCCATTGTTCAAATTCACTGAAGAGGCTATTTTGGGGTTAAGTTAAATTTAACCTTAAATAAGGAAAGCATCTGTCAAATGCGTGTATTTAAATCACTCTGGCTTTCAGAGAGCTAACCTTATGTGCTATATAGAACCAGAAATTTCAGCAGAAAGGGGAGAGAAGAGTTTAAAGCAAATCTCTTTTGATTCCCTTTGCCCTCTTGTAAAAAGCCCCGTTGCTTCATGACTTTTTTTTAAAAAAGCAAAATCCACACTGTTCTCTGAGCTGGCTGAGAGTTTGTTAAATCCTTGGCTGGCAGGGGTAGGCATTGACCTGGTGTGTGAAGTGCTTCTCATCCTCCCTGCCCTATCAGAAGAGCACAGTGTACTGGGTTTTGTCTTGCTTCTGTTTGTACTTTCTGCCTCCATTTAATTCAGATGCTTTTGGGATTATGTTGTATGTTTAAAATGTGTGGAATTTACAAACACAGCTATTATCCAGAGATGTTGGTGGAGAGTGCACTACTTTAATGTTAGCAAAATAAGTAGAAGGAAAATAGTGGACTCATAATGGTGCATAATCCATGGAAAATTTTGCTAGTGTAATTGTCGAGAAGAATAGAGTAAACAGCATCTTTAAAACAGCTGTTGAGTACTCTTTAATGTAGAAGAGCATAAGGAGATGTTATATTTGCATAACTTTTTAGTTTAAAATTCCATAAGAGGCCTAGTTTTTTAAATGGAAAATTGAAGTAGACAAAATCAATTGTGATGACCCCATTGTTGTTGTTAAGTGCCATTGAGTTGGTTCAGATTCATAGCGACCCTGATAGGGGTTCCAAGGAGCGGATGGTGGATTTAAACCACCTACTTGTGGTAGCAATCCAGTGCTTACCCTATAACAGTACACCAGGACCCTATACTATATTTCATCCAATTGAATGTTTCTCCCCTACGAGACAGTGAGTTCCATGTTCTTTCTTTCTTTGTTTTTGGTTAAATCAAATTAATATCTACCATGACTGGAGTCCTGGTATGGTGTGGTGGGTTAATGCGCCAGACTGCAAAGCCATTTGAACTGCAAGGTCAGCAGTTCAAGCTCAACAGCTGCTCCTCAGAAACCCTATTCAGGGTCGCTATTGGTTGGAACTGACTCAACAGCACTTCACAACAACAACAACAACATGACTGGAATTTAGGGCATCACTGCCATAGGGCATATAATCTTAAAGGTCAGTTTCAACCCTGAGAGTCAATGATTCTGTTAAAATTTTTGATTATTTTTAACATCAATTTTCATTTTAATTCTTTTCTATTTTGCTCAATCCATAATGATTTCATCTTCTAAATCAGTGGTTATCAGTGAGTGTGATTTTGGTTTCTGGCATGGCACTGTAGAATAATCACTGGACTGGTAACCTCAAGGTCAGTGGTTCTGACATACTAGGTGCTCCTTGGAACTCCTGTACAAGGTCTCTATGAGTTGGAAATAACTCTACAGCAATTAACAGCAACAGAGACATACATATTGGTTGTCACACTGGGGGAAGGGTGTTATTGTCATCTGGTAGTGTCTTAGTTGGAGTCCTGGTGTGGTGCTGCAGGATAATGTGCTGGACCACAAGGTTGATTTGAACCACAAGGTGGCAGTTCAAGTCCACTAGCAGCACCTCAGAAACCCTATACGGGGTCACTATGAGTTAGAACCTACTTGATGACACTTAACAACAAGTGTCTTAGTTATCTAGTGTTTCTATAACAGAAATGTGACAAGTGGATAACTGTTACAAAGAGAAATGTATTCTCTCACCGTTTGGGAGGCTAGAAGTCCGAATCTCGAGTATCAGCTGTGGTAAAATATCCTTGTCTCAGCATCTACAGGCCTGACATTCCTTAGAAAGCTTCATGTGTCTCAACATGACTCATTCCCTGGATCTAGGAACTTTACAACGCATGGAGCCCAGATTCAAAGGATGCACTCCACTCACAGCTATTCTCGCTTGGTGGGAGTGGGTCCCTCATCTGTTGAAGTCTCTCTCCTTTTATCTCTTGTAAGAAAAAAAGCACTGCATACCATACCTTTAGTTGTTGTTAAGTGCCTTTGAGTCAGTTCCAACTCATAGCGACCCTATATAGGGTTTCTGAGGAGCGGCTGGTGAGCTTGAACCGCTGACCTTATAGTTCAAATCAAGTTTGAAGTCCAGTGCATTAACCCACAGCAGGTAATCTCCCATAAGTTGAATCAAGGTGGTGATGGGAGTAAGGGTAGTGTATCCCACATGGCACTATGAGATAAAGCACTGGACCTCAAGATCAGTTTTAGGTACAAGGTCTGTGGTTCAAACTCACCAGCCGCTTCTTGGAAATCCTGTAAGGGTCATTTTGAGTCAGAATCAACTCTATGGCACTTTAACAACAACCCACCCTTATGGAGTCCTGATGTAGCGCTGTAGGATAAGCACTGGACTGCTAACCATAAGGTAGGCAGTTCAAACCTACCATCTGCTTCTTGGAAACCGAGTACAGGGTCACTATGACTCAGAACCAACTCCATGGCACTTAACAACAACACCAGCACCATCCCACTCTTACTGGTTTATCATCAAATCACGTAATGGAGAATAGTTGCATCTCAGCTGCCAAGTTACTAAGAATCCTGGCCCAGTCAAGTTGATACAAAACCTTAACTGTCATAGGTAGGTAGAGGACAAGTTTGCTGCTAAACATCTGCACAGGACAGCCTCTCACAACAAAGAATTATCTTTAATGATCAAAATACTAATAAACCTAATGTTGAAAAACTGCTCTAAATGCATGTGGCACCTATACTATCCCTCTGGCATTTAATCAAACATATATATCTTAGAGGTATTATTTAGATTACTGATTTATCTGTACTCTTAAAGTACTTTTGTACTTCTATAGCAAGCACATAGGAGTCCTGGTGCCGCGCCATAGGATAAGTGCTGGATCTCAAGGTTGATTTGAACCCTAAGGTTGGCAGTTCAAACTCACAAGCCACTCTTCAGAAACCCTATACAGGATAGCTATGAGTTGGAACCAACTCAGCGGCACTTAACAATGACAATAGCATACCACTGCAATGATAAATGAGGCAAAGGGAAGGTGGGGGGTGGGAAATGGGATAGTTTAGGTAAGAGATAAGACTGGGTTGGACTTAGGTGGTAGAACTAGAAAGATACATATGAATTTAAAATCTAGTTTATATGTAAACTGCTGGTACTTCCCTTTGGATTGAATGTGGGAGGAGAAGGAAAAAGAAAAATCAGAGATGTCACCTAGGTCTTTGGCTAGATTAAGTGGTTAGATTAACTGAGATTATTAATTTTAAAATAGGATTCTTTTAAAATCCTATTTCAGAACATACTGCTTTCCTGCAAAAGCTCTCCAGTAATTCTCCATAGCTTTCAAGTTGGATCCAAACCCTTTACCTTCACCTTCAAGGTCCTATGTGACCTGGCCTCTCTGTTCATCTCTAATCTAACCCCCTTCCAATCCCTCCATATTGACCCTCTTTCTGTCATTTGATCTCCCCAGTTCATTACCGCTTCTCCTTGTTAGCCATGGCATTCACTCTGCCTATAATATTCTTCATGTGGCTTGTTCCCTCACTTTATTTGGGTCTCATTTCTTCAGGGTGGCCCTTTCTGATGATCTAAATGCCCTCTCTCCCATCTTTTTTTACCTCAATAATTTGTTTTATTTTCTGCATAGCACTTGATTTTCTGAATTTATTTATTCATGTATTTGTTAATACATGTATATCATTACCCTCTCTTATTAGAATGTGTTTTGCATAGAGTAGACATTCAATGAATGTTCATCAGATGAATAAATTCATTTGCCACATACCATTTGCCAAATGGTAGTTGTTAAGTGTTATCGAGTCAGTTCTGACTCATAGTGACCCTATAGAGGGTTTCCAAGGAGCAGCTAGTCAGTTTGAACCACCAACCTTGTGGCTCAAACCTACCTTGCAGTCCAGTGCTTTGCCCCACAGTGCCACACCAGGATTGCAAATGGTAGAGGCCTTATATTGATTATATAATATTTTATATGTACAATTAAACTATGAAATCAGTGTCCATGTTTTGATTATCTTTAAGCTGTATATATTCTTCACAAGGAGTCCTGGTGTGGTGCTGTGGGTTAATGTGCCAGACTGCAAAGCCGTTTGAACTGCAAGGTCGGTAGTTCAAGATCACCAGCTGTTCCTATACAGGGTCGCTATGGTCAGAACTGACTAGTCGGCACTTAACAACAACATTCTTCACAAAGTAGGTGCTAAATACACATCTTGGTGCTGTGGTTAAAAACGCCAGCTCTGCAGTTTAATTTGGTCAAGTCACTGTTTACATTTCTCTAGTGACTTTTGACAAGTTACTTCTATTTCTAAGCTCAGTTTCCTCCTCTATAGAAGGAAAATATAGTCTATGAAGTCGATGCTGTATAAAGACAATAGTAGTATTTACTTCATAGGACTATTGTGAGGATGGCATTAACTACGTATATAAAGTATTTGGGAGCCTGGTTGCTCCATATGATAGGCACTGGACTGTGAACCATAGGATTTGCAGTTCAAGTCCACCAGCAGCTCCACAGGAGAAAGCTAAAGCTTTCTGCTCCTGCAAAAATTTCAAGCCTCGGAAATCCTAAACAGGGTCTCTATGAGTTGTAACCCATGTGACAGCAGTTAACAACAGCAACAGTAAGTATTTAATGTGGTACCATTTTAAGTGTTCAATAAAAGCTTTATATATATATTTCTTGATTTAGACTATAAGTTCATATCCTATAAGGATAGGTATTATATAAATGTATTGTATATATTTAATAAGTGTTTGGAGGAATGCAACATATTAAAATCTCTTGGGTTATTTTGTTTTTAGGTTGGACTAGCAGCTTGCCAAATTGCTCGAGCTTATGGCTTAAAGGTTTTGGGGACAGCTGGCACTGAGGAAGGACAAAATATTGTTTTGCAAAATGGAGCCCATGAAGTGTTTAATCACAGAGATGCCAATTATATTGATAAAATTAAGGTAAATTTTTCTACAACTCTGTAAGTCGAACTTTGTTTCTTTAGATACTTCACGTTTTTGGTAAATTATTTTTTCACTAACTACTTTCTTAAAATCATTTGCTTTTTTGTCTTTATGTCTATGGGTATTTTAAATTTTGTTTCATTAGTTTAAAAAGCACAGATGTTTCCTTTTTAAGTCACCACTGTTGGTTCTGTTTTTTTCTGTGAATCAAATGACTATATTGCCACTATAGATTTTGTATAATTATTAAAATTAGTACTCTTTAATGCAAATTGCATTTTAGGTAAAGCCATAGCTTTTTATTTGCAGCTGGAGATGTTCTTAATATAATTTAATGTTAATTTTCCTAGAAGGTAAAGTATCTTTCTACAGATTACAAATTGGATCTGTTTAGGCCTTAGGAAACAGTTTGTTAATTGGATGATTTGAATGAGTAAGAACAATATCATCTAAAACATTGAGATAGCATTTAACATATTTTATGCAAATAATTTGTGGGCAGATAAACTGTATAGTCTATATTTTTTTTTGCAACACCACTCTAAGAATTTTCATAAGTGTGCTATGCTAAATTTTTTTATAGTTTGCTGTAAAAAATTAGTATAGTGCTTATAAAAATACCACAGGAGGGCACAATTAGCAAAAGTATAGAATTGTACATTCTTTGCATAAAAAATATGGTAGATAGTTACATCTGAATTTGAGCAACCCCTAGAGTTCTCAATTTGTATCATTGTCAAAATTTACTAACACTGATTATGTTGCTGTGTTTGTTAAGTGCTGTTGAGTCGGTTCTGACCCATAGCAACCCTGCATGGGTTTCCAAGGAGCAGCTGATGAGTTTGAGCCAACCAGTAAGCAGTGTAGTGCTAATCTACAGTGCCACTCCAGGACTCCACTGATTATGTTGGTGATCCTCAATCTACTTCTCATGTTGAGAAACAATTAGAATTTTCCAGGAACTGATTACTATGTAAACTAGGTCAATACAAACTGAGGACAAAGTATGAGCAAGGTTTTGTCACTCCTGATACCATTATCCAAGAGTACTTCTAAATGAAAAATGGCCAGTTCTTTTAAGAATTTTGCTTTTGTTTTACAACAATCTGCTTTTAAGACCACTAAGTCTCATAGATTATAACTTTCATATCTTCTCCCACTGTCAACAAATATGCGTAAGTCTTTCCCATCCTTAAAAACATTCTCTTAACCCTTTTACCTCATGCCTCTCTCTTCCCTTAAAAAAAAATAGTAGTGTGTGCTTATTTTTCTTTAAGTTTTACTTCTCGTCACCACACATTGGACTGCTAACTGCAAAGTCATCAGTTCAAATTCACCAGCCGCTCTTTGGAGTAAGATGAGACTTTCTGCTCCCCTAAAGATTTATAGCCTTGGAAACCCTATACAGTGTCTCTATGAATCCAGACTGACTCGATGGCACACAACTACCACTGTGACTTGCTTTCATCCAGTTTTTTAAAATAGCTTCTCAGAAGTCACTAAAAAGCTCCTAATTACCAGTCACTGGCCCTGTGTCAGTCTTCATTCTATTTGTTTTCTCAGAAGAATATAGCACTGACCATATCCTGAACTGATTCTTTTATCTCTCTGTCAGTTTATTTTCAATTTCTTTCCTCTCAGTTACTTAAATGTTGGTGTTCCTTAAGTCTTTTTCTTTAGTCTGTCATCTTCTCTGGTGCTAGACTTTCATGCTGATCAATCTCATATGCTGTCATGACTTCTGTTAATATCCAGCTACTGATGATTTTGAAAACTACTGTCCTGAGTTCCATCCCTTCACATCATCCTGTTTGTCATCCTCACTCACCCAGGCATCCACTTGTTTGGTGATCCAAGGTAGAAATTTGCATTGCATTTTTTATTCCTATCTTTTTATCACCATTCTCTCTCCCTCCTGTCAAGTTGATAACCTTATTCTTTCAGTTTCATCTATAATCCATCTTTCAAATGTATATTTTCTCTATTCTTTCCAGCATTGTGACCTAGTCCAGATCTTATCTTCTCTAGCCTTGACTGTTACCCTAGTTCCTAATTGAGCTAATATCCTCCTCTCTCAACTCTACTGTCTCCAGAGTAATTTGCGTCCCCCTTATAAAAAATCCCAGAAATAAACTAAAAAATGGAAGCTCCATGAGGATAAGAATTTCTGTTTCTCTTTTTTCCTGCTGTACCTCCAATGTCTTGAACAGTGCTTCACACAGGAATTAATGAACACTTGACCAAAAAAAGACAAAAACAAAATCAAAACAAAAAACAAACAGTCCAACTCTCACATAATACTCCATGTACTTTCACAATATGTGCCAATTTACAGTCCCCTCTGCTCTGACCCCCTCTGCTCTGACACCCCAGCACTCCTGAGCTACTTTCTAGCCCTGTTATATTCTAATTCCCACACTTTTGTTTTTCTATTTCTTTTACCCATGCACACTAGACTGCCAACCACAAGGATGGTGTTTAAGCCTACCAACCACGCCTTGGAAACCCTATACAGGGTTGCTTTGAGATGGAAATGGCTTAACAGCACTTAACAACAGCATGCCTCATTTCTAGCTTCCTATTGTTTCCTTTTTTCTTTTTGCCTTTGTTGTTAAATGCTGTCGAGTTGATTCCAACCCATAGTGACCCTGTATAGGGTTTCCGAGGAGAAGCTGGTGAGCTTGAACCACCGACCTCGCAGTTCTAATGGCTTTGCAGTCTGGCGCATTAACCCACAGCACCACACCACTACTATTCATTCCTCAAGACCTAGACCATATATCTGTGAAACTTTCCCTAAGCACTGCAGCCGATCAGACTTTGACGTTAACTTTTTCAATAACCCATTATAAAAATGGCATGGAGGCAGCTTCTGACCTCCTCTGACTTCAACAGGGGGAAAGAGAATCAAACTCAACATCAGCCCTAGGCAGATTCCTGGGTGGCAGAGTTCAGAACTGCTCATGGAACTGTTCTTTAGTCAGTACATCCTCTTCTCAGCCATGCCCACAGGCATGCCTCTCTCATTCTGGTCTTCTTCAGCCTCTCAGCTATGAGGCCTGCAAAGATGATGTTACAAAGCCTTTAGCACTGCTAATAAATGCCAAATGGTCACTCCACTCTGCTATAAGCCTCAGTCCAAATGCCCTCAACTTTGGCTCTGCAGGTTAGCAAAGCTAGCTTCTCTACTTAAGTGCAGGGAGGTACCCTACTATGCAAATGAGCCCCCTGACTATCAGATGTATTTTTTTGCATGGGTCAGGAAACCCACCACTCTGTGTCATGTTCTTGGTTCTGCTGCCACTTCTCCTGTGCTACTTCTCTGCTGCTCCTCTGTACCAGGGCTCTGTCTCCTGCATCGAGGAGGTTTACCAGGGATTTCAGGGGCCAAAGATGTACTCCACTCCTGGCTCTTCTTTATTGATGGTACTAGGATCCCTGTTCCTGCTTCTGATATGGCTCATTTAAAACCCACTGGGATGGTAAAACTGACCATTCCCCACACGAGTTCCATACATCCTATTTGTATGGAGTCCTGGTGTGACACTGTAGGATAAGCACAGGACTGCTAACCACAAGGTCAGCGTTCAAACCCACTTCTCAGAAACTCTGTATATGGTCTTTATGCATTGCAACCATCTCAAAGACACTTAACAACAACCCTAACAACCCACTCATTTGGTGGGAGGTACAAGGACTATGACGGCATTTATGGTTTATTTCTACTAATGTAGCAGGTGATCCACTGCATTGTACCTGGGAATATCTTATACCCACCTTCCTCTCTAGCTACTTTTCAAAATGTTTTAAGCTCCCTAGGTCCATCTTTGAATTTCTAGTACCTAACACAATGCCTGGACCCTGGGTAGCACTATAAGATAAGCACTGGACTAGTAACCACAAGGTCAGCAGTTAAGGCCCACTAGGCACTCTCAGAAACCCTATACAGGGTTACTATGAGTCATAACTGACTTGATGACATACACCAACACACTGTATAGTAGGCGTATTCACTTTTTAATTAAAGTAAAATGAATATAGATATGTAGAGGTTTTTAAGAGTAAGTTTTGGATCTTGAGAATCAACATCTGAGAGTCAAAAAGAAAACCATATAAAACAAAACTGAATGCACAAAACATATCCTGCAACACTAAAACATCAACATTTTTTCCTTTTCTTTGTTAATAAAAATCAGAGTCCCTTTGGGGCTTTGGATTTCCAGTTGTTTGTTTCTCTATAAAAATACATTTTAGACTTAGAAAATTTTCAACTAAGGGGAAAACATTTTATAGTCAAATTGCATCTAAGTACCTGAAATTCCAGGCAAATTTTATTTTATCACAGCAATTTTTTAGTACAAATTGCTATCATTTTATATGTGATTGGTGCCTTGAAATTACATCATCATTATATAATTAGACCATTTTAAAATTTTCATTATTAGCATTTAAAAATGCCATTTTATATGTTAGTTGAAACATATTTCTAAAATATTTGAGATTATGATAACCATTTTATTGTTTTTGCTTGTTTTCTTATCCTATTATGCATTTTTTTATATTTGATATAGAAATCCACTGATGACAAAGGAATTGATGTGATTATTGAAATGTTAGCTAATGTAAATCTTAGTAATGATTTGAAACTACTGTCATACGGAGGACGAGTCATAGTAAGTATTTCAATTTTTTTTTTTTTTTACCATTTTTAAGGTTTACCATAATTTTAGATTATTGAACCTTCCACTTCACATTATTTTAGAGTAGTCTTTAATGGAAGGTTTGTTGTTTTTCATAACAGATTGTTGGCAGCAGAGGTCCTATTGAAATAAACCCACGGGACACCATGGCAAAGGAGTCTAGTATAATTGGAGTTGCTCTCTTTTCATCAACCCAGGTACAGAAAGAAGTGATTCTGATTTTATTGGTTAAAAGTTAGTTGGTTGTTGTTGTTGTTAAGTGACATTGAGTCACTTCCGACTTATAGCAACCCTGAATATTGTTTCTGAGGAGCAGCTAGTGAATTTGAACTGCTGATCTTGCGGTTCAAACTGTCCTTGCAGTCCAGTGCATTATCCCACAGTGCCATACTAGGACTCCTAAAAATTGGTACAGTTTTCCAAATCAGACATACTGCAAGTTTTTTGAGTAGATGTTAAATTTAGTTATGGCTAGAGGAGTGAATTGATGATTCCTTTCTAGAAGGTGTTGGGGCACCAATATAATTTATTATACAAATCAGATCACTTCTGAGAAAAGGAGGATATTATTAATAAGTACATCAGAACAATGGGTATTTTGTAAACTGACTCTGTACCAGGCAAATTAGGACTTAGCGCTACCTACGTCAAAACCAAATCAAACCCACTGCCATTGAGTCAATTTCATCTCATAGTAACCCCATAAAAGGTTTCCAAGACTATAAATCTGTATGGAAGCAGACAACCTCATCTTCTCCCAGAGTGGCTGGTGGATTTGAAATGCTGAATTTGTGATTAGCATCCCAGCACTTAAACTGTAGTGCTACCCGGTCCCCATATGGCTACTTACAGAGAACTACTTTTTTACAGTTTTTATTTACAAGTTGACAAAAACTATACACTTGTTAGATACTCTTATTTATAACATGTAGATTCTGAAGTATTCGTAATGCTTCCGAAAGTTAAGTCATGTGGTCCATTAAAAAAAAAAAAAAGCCTTTCTTCTTTGTCTTAGGAAGAATTGCAGCAGATTGCAGCAGCCCTTCGAGCCGGCATGGAAATTGGTTGGTTGAGACCTGTAGTAGGTTCTCAGTATCCATTGGAGAAAGCGGCACAAGCTCATGAAAATATCATTCATTGCAGTGGGGCTGCTGGAAAAATGATTCTTCTTTTATGATGATTAAGTCTCATATAGATTTGCTATGTATTTAAAGCCCCACAGCCCCAAGTTTGATTACACTATCTGTATTTTAGTTCATGTTCATTTCACTTACTAATTTCTTATGTTAAAAAGCATGATTTTGCTTTAGAGATCATGAACTATGGAGTAAAACTTATTTTTATATAGCATGTTGTATTCTTTGTATCTTTTACCTCTTGCCAAACAGTCATCACAGTTGGAAACAGAATGTTTGTGGCCAGTTGGCATTCTGAACTGATACTTGATTAATTCCATACTTTTGATCAAAACACACTAATTTAAAATAAAGATTTCCATGCCTACTTATCCTTACAAAAATTCATAATATCTAAATAACTCTGTATTTTGTTGAACTCTGAAATTTTTCTGGACTTAAAAAGACCTCTTATGTGGATCTACAAGTTTTTTGGAATGACAAAAATAAACAATTACCAGAGATATTTGGTAATTTTTCCAACATTTCCCAAAATAGTAAGATATTCACCATTTTAATGGTTGATTACCAATGACATATATGTTCTATGAGGACAACAACCTTATATTTTGTGTAATATGATACTAAGTACATGGCCTCCAAGTAGGCACTAGATTTTTCATAGTAGACTTAGAGTTATCTGTTTGTGTAATGGGGTCATGTATTTTTTTTAAATTAATAAACTCATAAATTTGACACATTAAGAATGATCTGCTTTTGTTTTCATAAAATAATAAAATTTATAAATTCTATAGGAAATTTATTTATCTAGTTAGTCTTTTTGTAGTATTACAATTAAAATTGAGGTGAGCCAACAGAATGGAGAAATCTGTAGACACGATCATTAATATCACATGCAAGTAGAATTTTGCTAAAGATAACATAAAAACAGCTGCAACTATACATTGACAGAACAGTTCCAGAGGTTCAAGCCAAATACTGAAGAGGATGCGAAATGAGGGATATTGTTTCTGGCTTCAGATGAATCTGCTCAAAGCAGAGAATACCAGAAAGATATTTACCTGTGCTTTATTGACCATGTAAAGACTTTTAATTGTGTGGATCATGACAAGCTATGGACAACATTGCAGAGAATGAGTATTCCGGAACACTTAATTGTGCTCATGAGAATCTTCTACATAGACCAAGAGGCATTAATTAGCCCACAGCACCACACTAGTGTTATGGACTGCCAAAAGAACAAACAGATCTGTGCTGAAAGAAATGCAGCCAGAATGTTCCTTGGAAGCCAGGATGGCCAGACATCATTTCTGATACTTTAGGCATATTATCATGAGGGACCAGTCCCTGGAGAAGGATATCATGTTGAGTAAAGTGGAGGGTCAGAGGAAAAGGAAGACCCCCAACATGACACGGTGGCAATAGCTCTGGGCTCAGGCATAGAAACGATTGTGAGGTTGGCGCAGGACCAGGCAATGTTTCTTTCTGTTGTGTATAGAGTCGCTAGGAATTTTTACCGACTCCACGGTCTCTAACAACAAACAGTGAAAATGTTGCAAGAAAGGTTTATAGTAGATCATAAATTAAAATAATTTTTCAGAAATATTTGAGAAATCAAAACATAAGACATGACTTTCAGGGAAGCAAATCTACAATTTGCATCAATATCTACATAGTCCCTAATGGTTACTTCCTAACATGTGTAAGTTTTTATCTAACTAAATATGGTACTAACTACTTAGATATATTGCCATCGATATTTATAGCCAAGAAAGTGAGGCTTGGTTGTTTATTAATTTTTTTTTCTTTTTCTTCATATCACCATCTCTTGCCTGTTGTTAGATTATGTGGTTAATACTCTTGACTTGATTTATGTCTCTTGATGGACAGTTTTGGATTTCTAATTTGATCATGAAATCCTACTTTAGTAGTAAACAGAGGCATTGCTAATTTTTATAATCAGAGGAATCATTAACTTTGGTTGTACAAGGAGGATTTAAAACATTTATGGGAAAAAATCCCATTATCTTTAAATTTCATTTTTTTCACATTTTGAAGGCTCCTGGTATATGTATTAGATGAAGTGGTTTTATTATTAGCATTTTCTGAGTTTATTCACTGTTTCTTTTATAGGCTAACTGTCCTGTGAAATAAAATGTTTGAAACAAAGCACTAATGGTGATTGTCATGAATCTAGGGACTGGCAAGTCTTACAAGCCAGTCTTACAAGTCTGAGAGTCAGTTGTTCAAACAGAACAAGGGGATCCTGAGTGGTTTAAAACCTGGAAAGGTATGCATGAGAGTTGTATTCTTGCAGCATACGTATTCAGTATGTATGCTGAGCAAATAAATAACTGGATTATATGAAGACTAATGCATCATCAGGATTGGAAGAAGGCTCATTAACAACCTGCGATATGCAGATGATGCAACCTTGCTTGTTGAAAGCAAAGAGGACTTGAAACACTTAGTGATAAACAACAGCCTTCAATGTGGATTACAACTCAACGTAAAGAAAATAAAAATCCTCACAACTTTACAAATAAACACATCATGATAAATGGGGAAGAGATTGAAATTAACAAGAATTTTATTTCACTTGGATCCAAAATAAATGCTCATGGAAGGTGCAGTCAAGAATTCAACAATGTATTGCAGTAGGCAAATCTTCTGCAGAAGACCTCTTTAAAGTGAGCCTGACCCAAGTCATGGGATTTTCGGTTGCCTCATATGCATGTGAAATTTAGACAGTGAATAAGGAAGACCAAAGAAGAATTGATGCATTTGAATTATGGTGTTGGAGGAGAATATTGAAAGTACCAGAAGAACAAATCTGTCGAAAGAAATACAATCAGCATGCCCCTTGAAAACTTCTCATGCACTTTGGACATGTTCTCAGAAGAAACCAATTGCTAGAGCAGGACATGCTTGGTAAAGGAGAGGATCAACAACACAGAGGAAGACCTTCAAGGAGATGAATTGACAGTGACAGCAATGGGCGTATACATAACAATTTTGAGGCTAGTGCAGGACTAGGCAGTGTTTCGTTCTGTTCTAAGTAGGGTCACTATGAATTGAAACCAACTTAACAGCACCTAACAACAACCACCATGCAAAACAATAACTGAATACTTTTTTCTGTTATAACCTGAATCGGGCTGGGAACCGCAAGGTCAGCAGTTTGAACCTCCAGCTGTTCCGCGGGAGAAAGATGAGGCGTTCTGCTCCCGTAAAGATTTACAGCCTCGGAAACCCTGTACAGGGTGGCTATGAGTCAGAACCGACTCCACGGCACATAACAACAACCTACTTGTACATTTGCCAGCTCCATAAAATGAATAAGGTGAACTGTCAACACTTCATGATACACTGATACAATTCAGTTAATTTGGAAGACAAAAACTAGCTAAATGTATTTATTAACTAAATGCATTTATTATGATCATGTTAACATTGAGTATGGACCCTGCAGGAACCCCATTGTAATTCCAATTCTACTCTTATCCCTGACTTTTCAACTATATTCACTGCCTAGGGCTATTCACAGTTCACAGTGTATAGAGTTCTTTTCTTCTGCATGAGCTAACTCCTGAGAGCAGTGAAACCTTTAGGGCTGTTACATCACTTACTAGTTCCCGACCCTGAAGTTAAGCAGAATATCCTCTAGATTAAACAAATATTGTTTGACCTCTTAACTTTCTGTATTTCTATTCCTGTTTGCTTTGACCTCTATGACCTAGAATCACATAATGCTTTAGAGATCAAGTGGATCAGCCCGCCCTGAGTTAATGATTTGCCAAAGGTCACAAGATTAGCACAAATTCAGCTGACTTTTTCTTTTAAAAGCAGGCTTTGGATATAAAAGTCATAATGTCCGAATATTAATATCCAGGCCTTTGACTTCCCTGGCCTGCGGTACCTCTGGCTAGTGTAGGAGCTGACATATTGCTTTCCAGACTCCTTTTGCCTAAGTTTTCTTGGTTTTGACCATGCATAGTGGTTACAAATAGGGCTGCTAACCTCAAGATTGGCAGTTCAAAACTACCAGCCATTCCATGGGAAAAAGATGAGACGTTCTGCTCCCGTAAAGATTTACAGTCTCGGAAACCCTGTTCAGGGTCACTGTGAGTCGAAATCAACTCCACAGCACAAAAAAACAACATCATTCATTCTTACCTCAGTTGCCACCAATCCTTCGGTTTGACAGAGTCTTTTAAAAAGGGATTGTTCTGTTTACCATGTGATCAACAAATATTTATTAAGTACTTCAGTGTGAGAAGGCAATGTTTTAGACTTTGAAGATACAGAGTTAATTCACATTCTTGAACTTACAGCTGAAAAAGCCCAGAAAGAAATAATTTTAGAGTATAAGTATGTGACACAGGATCACAAAGAAGGGACTATTGTGGGTTGGGATTTCCAATTAGGCATTTAATATTTATGATGCACTTGTTAGCTTCCTGCATCCAGAGAAGCTTTGACCAAAGAAGTACAAAGTAACCTGGATACTTCTGAAAAAGAAAACTGCATAGTATTTTAGAATGATCATAGCTTTATTAAGACAAGAAACTATAGGTGTGCCGAGGGGTTTCCACAATCCACAGTTGTTTTGTTCTGCGTGAGCCAAGTCCTGAGAACAGCAAAACCTAGCAGGTCACTTTGACCTGGCTCACTCAGTCCCCTCAACCATGGCTCACTGACAGGAAACCCCATGAGGTTTTTTACTCAGCTCAAGCCATAATTCTCTTTTTAACCTGACACTTGCAGTGATCCTTTTTTGTCTTAATGGGCATTAAAAATATCAAGACAATTTTACTAATCCATAGCACTGGTAGCTAGTGGTTACGAATCGGGCTGCTAACCTCAAGGTCAACAGTTTGAAACTACCAGCCATTCCACGGGAGAAAGATGAGGCTTTCTGCTCCTGTAAAGATTTACAGCCTCGGAAACCCTGTGCAGGGTCGCTATGAGTCGGAACCGACTCCACTGCACTTAACAATAATAATAACAACAATAGGAAGTATGAGATCTTCCTACAACAAGGAAAAAGCCTAGGAAATGTTATAAAAGGAAGCCTACTTTATTTTGCTCTGTGTTGATGATCCCAATGTTTTGATGGAGATAGTCCATGTAAGTTCTTTAAGAGCAAATCTGACATTAATCCAAAACCTATTACATGATTTGAAGTTAAGGGACGTCGAGTTGGTTCCGATTCACAGTGACTATAGGGTTTCCGAGGAACAGTTGGTAGGTTTGAACTGCTGACCTTCTGTTTAGCAGTCCAGTACTTACCCTACAATGCCACACCAGGACTCTTACTGCATGGTAGATACTCATTGTTGTTGAATGCTGTGGAGTCGATTCCGACACATTTGTTGTCGTTATGTTGCTGTGGAGTCGGTTCTGACTCATAGCGACCCTGTACAGGGTTTCCGAGGATGTAAATCTTTACAGGAGCAGAAAACCTCTTCTTTCTTCAGCAGAACAACTGGTAGTTTTGAACTGCTGTCCTTGAGGTTCGCAGCCCGATTTGTAACCACTACACCACGAGAGCTCCTTGTGACACATTTGGTTGGTTGGTTGGTTATGTGTCGTGGAGTCGGTTCCCACTCATAGCGACCCTGCACAGGGTTTCTGAGGCTGTAAATCTTCATGGGAGCAGAAAGTCTCATCTTTCTCCCGCGGAACAGCTATTAGTTTCAAACTGCTGACCTTGCAGTTCACAGCCCGATTTGTAACCACTACGCTACAGTAACCCTATATAGTGTTTCTAAGGAGCAGCTAGTGAGCTTGAACCATCAACCTTTTCAATTCAAATCGCACTTGGAGTCCAGTGCATTAACCCACAGTGCCACACCAGGATTCCAGATACTCATTAAACATGTTAAATACAACCCTGATTTATAATTTAAATATTAAAAATACCAAAGATGACTATAACAGTACTGGAAATTAAAAATCTGAGGAGATTCTGTGCCAAAATCCACTGGGAATTTCTATTAACTTCCGAGGTTAATCAGTCAATTCATTGAACCAAACTAGTGCAAAGTAAGTAGAAAAAGCCTCAATTTAGTCACTGTCTCTACTTCAGAACATAGGAACTAAGCTGCCTGAAAAATCAAACCACCAGTCAGCTTCATGTTATGGCCCAGAAATTATCCAAGCTAGCCAGGTTTGTGATGTACACTCACCTCCAGCATCCCTCAGTTTCTTACTTTCACATGCATTTGAAGACTACAGGTTTCAGTTTCAGAACAGCTGCAGATTGAAATGGAAGGGAGACTTTGCACCCTTGGGTATGTGGTAACCACAGAGAAAGCATTGCAAACGGTTGGAGGGAGGAGGGCCTCTAGGTTGCAACAAACACTAGAGAGTACATCACTTGCTCAAAGAATGTCTGTAAAGCGAGTTTACCTAGCAGCCAGAGGAGAAAACTCTCATGCTTTAGTCCAGCAGGTACTGGAAATGACACACACGGTACTTCCGAGACTACTCACTCCAGGTATAGCTCAGAACAGGGAAGAAGTAGCTAAATAGCTTTAAAGAGAATAGATAATGAAGGGAACCTGCTTTAAATCCTGGCTATTCTACCCAGTAGCTGTGCATTCCTGGGCAAATGACGTGGTGGTTATGTGCCGTGGAGTCCGTTCAGAATTATACAGGGTTTTCGAGGCTGTAAATTTTTACAGGAGCAGAACGCCTCATCTTTCTCCCACGGAACAGCTGGTAGTTTCGCACTGCTGACCTTGCGGTTCACCGCCCCATTCATAACCACTATGCTACCAGAGCTCCTTGGGCAAATGACGTAAACATTTGAAATCTGAATTCTTTTTAATGTACCATGGGATTATAAAACTACATCACAGTTTGTAAGAATAAAATAATTTTATTATTGGTTACCAAGGGTGGAAGGGCGTGGGGAGAGAGGGTTAGCCGTAATGGTTAACCCGAAATAGGGTAAGATTGCCCAGTCAGTTGTAATTGCTCTCAGAACGTGTAAAAAGTTGACCTGGCAAAAGTTGTGTGATAGTTATATTTACAACACCAACAACAAAAATAGTCACTGGTGTTATTTATATACAATGAAGCACCATATGAGAGATTTCCTTGGTTTGGAGGTTTAGGGTCATGTTTTCATTCTAATTTTTATTAACTGCAAAGAAAGAACAAATTGAGGTGAAAGAGAGAAATGAAAAGGGAGCGTCCTGAAACATGTAAAATAAAAAAGGTAATTCCCACAGCAGATCTGAATGCACACAACTAACACTACTGAAAAACTTGGCTAGGTTAGGGTCCTCAATGGTTTGGTATACACTACTATTATCTTACATTTTGAGATCTGATGTGAGCAGCCAATCAGTTGAGAGGGAGTTTTCTTGAAGCCATGGCCTGCCTCTATTATAAATGGAAGTTCTTACTAAAGCTTGCTTTCTCACAACCCTGCAATCTCTACTTTGTCTGACCTGCTGTTCTTGAGACATAAGCCAGTAGAGGCTTCTAGTATGTCATCTAACTTCCAGATTTTGGATTTGCCAAATCTCACAATCTTGTAAACTGCCAGCCTGTAGGCTGACCTGCAGATTTTGGGTTTGTCAACCCTTGCAAACAAGTGAACCAGCAGAGGTCTTCAGCCCATTGCCTGCTCCATGGATTTGAGACTTTCTTGCTCCTACAAACACATGAGCCATTTCTCACAATTGTGCCATCCACATCCTTGAAGTAAACTTTGGTCTCTCTCTATATAGATATAGATACAGATATAGATATAGATATAATTCACTGGTTTTTCACCTTTATACAGCCCAGACTAAGACAGTGTTCATGTGGATGAATTTGATAACTCTTTCAAAATCTACAGAGCAAAGAAATAGAAAAAATATATAGAGAGAAGAGAAAACAAGAAACAAATGCAAAAGCAAGGTTTGAATTATTGGTGTGCCTATAAAGAAACCACAAAAATTAATCAGGTGGGTGTGATGGGGATGGAAGTTTGTGCACCATTCTCTGTTTGCTGTTCATGAAGCTAAGTGTAGGGTGGGTTTGTCTGATGTTGTTTTTTTGTCATTGATCTGAATAGCAGCTGGCATTGGCTCTTGTCAAGTAGATTTCAGAATAAAAGAGACTTTTTTAAAATGGGGAAGAAAATAATAAATTACAGAGTAACTAACCTTTTGTCTACTGCTTGGACTCTATAAAGAGTATGGTTGTCACTGGGCTATATGGGGCTGGTTGCTGTCCCCTGTCACGTAAAGCAAGAAGAAAAATCACATACACAAGAGAGAAAGTAAACAAACACATAAAGAAGCAAACAACAATGAAAAACAATTTGTTCTTCAGTTTTTATGGCTGGAAAATGCTGATCGTGTTTTTACCTTTTGGTTTTCTTACTCCAAGTCTTTGTATATTTCATTATAATACTTGATTTGTCTTCTCAAATTGCCCTTTGAAATTTCCTGTTCAGCTCTTTTTAACCTTTTCAGTTCTTCCATTTGCTTTAGCATCTCTGTGCTGGAGAGCAATTTCTGAGTCTTTTCTAACATTCACTTTGGTCTTTTCCTTCTTTCTTGTCTTCTTAATGACATTTTGCTTTCTTCTTCAGTATGATTTTCTTGATGTCATCCCACAACACTTCTGGTCATTATTGTCTAGTAGCGTAGTGGTTACGAATCGGGCTGCGAACCTTAGGAACAGCGGTTCGAAACTACCAGCTGCTCCACAGGAGAAAGATGAGGCTTTCTGCTCCCGTAAAGATTTACAGCCTTGGAAACCCTGTACAGGGTTGCTATGAGTTGGAACAAACTCCATGGCACTTAGCAACAACAACAACAACATCAAATTTTCTCTTGAGATGATCTCTAAATTCAGGTGGGATGTGTTCAATGTCACATTTTGGCTCTCATGGACTTGTTTTAATTTTCTTCAGGTTTAGCAGATGACATTGAACTTTTCCATCATATCTTCCCACAGAAGTGGTCAATTTGATTTTTGTGTATTCCATCTGGTGAGCTCTGTGTATATAGTTGTTTTTTATGTTGTTTAAAGATGGTATTTGCAATAAATCATTGTCCTTGCAAAATTCTATCATGCGATCTCCAGCATCATTTCTATCACCAAGGCCATATTTTCTAAACATTGTTCCTTTCTATTTCTTTCCAATCTTTGCATTCCAATCACCAATAATTATCAATACATCTTGATTACATGTTTGATCAATTTCATTCTGAAGAAGCTGATACAATTCTTCAAATTCTTTATCACTGGCTTTAGTGGTTGGTGCATAAATTTGAATAATAGTGGTATTAACTAGTTGTTTTTAGTCATATAGATATTATCCTACCACAGACAGCATTATACTTTAAAATAGGTCTTTAAATGTTCTTTTTTTTTTTTTTTTTTTTTTTTTTTTATCATGAATCTGATGCCATTCCTCTTCAATTTCTCATTCCTGTCATAGTAAACCACATGATTGTCAATTCATAATGGTCAATACCAGTCCATTTCAGCTCATTACTGCTTAGGATAGTGATCTTTATGTGTTCCATTGCATTTTTGACAATTCCCATTTTCCTTGATTCATACATCATATATTCCATTTTCTGAATATTAATGGATGTTTATAATGATTTCTTTTCATTTTGAGTTGTGCTTCTTCAGCAAATGAAGGTCCTGAAATCATACACCATTTGAGTCATCACAGTGAACTCTGCTTTGAGGAGACAGCACTTCCCTACTTGTATTCTGAGTGCCTTTCAACCTGAGGGGATTAACTTTTGTTACTACATTGTTGTTGTTGTTTTTATGTCCACTGAGTTGAGTCCAACTCATACCAACCTCTGATAGGGTTTCTGAGGAGTAGCTAGTGAGTTTGAATCGCCAAAGTTGGGTTCAAACTGACCTTGTAGTCCATATCTGATAATATTCTGGTGCTATTTATCATGTTTCAATATTCAGTATTATGGTGCTATCTGAAAGTGTTCCACTGCTATTCATAATCTTTTAAGTGGCTAAACATTAAAAAATATAGTTCATCTCTCCTTGTTCATTAGTCTGGAAACTCATCTGAAACCTGTCCATTATGGGTCACCATGCTGGTGTTTAAAATACCTGTGGCATACCTTCCGGCATCACAGCAACATGCAAGCCACCACAGTATGACAAACTTCCAGATGAGTGGTGGAAAATTATAAAGATCGTCAATGAAAAAATGGGGACAAACAGGGGCTCTAATACATGGCATAAATACATCATCAAATATAAATACATGTCCAAAAGCAATAAGAGCCTTGACATGAGAAGATATATATGCATACCCACGGTCATCATAGACTAGTCACAATAGCAAAAAGATGGATACAGTTTAAATGTCCATCAATGGAAGAATAGATAAACAAACTTTGGTACATTCACACAATGGAATATTATGTAATGTTGAATAATAACAATGAATTTGCAAAACACTTCATAACATAGGTGAAGCTGGAGGACATTTTTCTGAGTAAAATTAGTCTATCACAAAAGAACAAATATTGTATGAGATTGCTATTGTAGAACCTCAAGGAAAGGTGTTCTTGCTAGAGGACATACTCTTTGATATTTACCAGGGTTGGAAGGGAAGGATGAGTATCTCACTAGCTAGAGGATTGACACATGTTGGCTTGGATGATTGGAAGAGCAAAATACAAGAAGAGGGAGTTGGCAGAAGAATGAACACAGGAGAAGATACAGGGAGGTATGTAAGGGCTAAAGGGATAGTAGTAAATAGTGTTCTATGTGTAGATACATGAACAGAGACTCAGGATATGGGAGCATGAATAGGAGTATACCCACAAATATCTGAGGGTATGAAAGAGGATTGTTGTGCATGGGTACTATGCTTGCTAAAAACACATCTATGAATGTGATGGAGCATGGTGGTAATGGAGTCGATTCATACTCATAGCGACCCTGCATAGGGTTTCTGAGGCTGTAAATCTTTATGGGAGCAGAAAGTCTCATCTTCTTCCCATGGAACCACTGGAAGTTTTGAACTGATGATCGTAAGGTTAGCAGCCCACTTCGTAACCACAGCGCTACCAGAGTTCCTTGTGGTGGAGCATACAAGGGGCCAAATGATGAAAGCATCTTATTTAGTACCAAACACATTAATATAATGAGTTCCTGGGCATAGGGGCTGAGAACCATAGTCTCAGGAACTTCATGGTCAATTGGCACAACATAGTCCACAAAGACAATGTTCTACATCCTGCTGAGTGGCACTAAGGTCTTAAAAGTGCATGCAAAAGTATAGCTAAAGTACAACTATTGATCTCTATATGTGCAGAAGAAAGTTGTTGTGGTTGTTGTTAGGTGCCATCAAGTCAATACCAACTCATAGCGACCCTATGCACAACAGAAATAAACACTGCCTGGTCCTGGGACAACCTCATAATTGTTGCCATTCTTGAGCCCACTGATGC